GATATCTTTGACATGTTGTCGGTCATCTTGCTGGTGAGAGATGCAGAGTCACGATGAACATAGAGAGATATCGAGTCTGCTTTTGCTCGATCCAGGATTTTCCTAGTCTTGTTTGTACCGAGAATACGTTGCTGCTCGGAGAGAGTTTTGCTAGACATCTAAGTTAACATCGTCACGCTGCTATTCGACGTGACACTTACCAGTTACAAGCTGTCAACAAAAGAGTCAGTGAGCTCGTCTGGTGCTCGATGAGCTTCTGCACACTTTCCGGTCCGTAACTTCCGAAAACAACTTTGAACTTGTCGCGAAGATCGAGTGGTTTCTCCGTTAGTTGCGCAAGGTCGGAAAAGAAGCTCTCTATCTCGGTCATCAACAACTTGCAACAGGAGACCGACACGTCCAGATCCATGACTAGTTGGTGGTGGGTGTCCTGGAGATCTTGATCTATCCACTCTTGTATCTTTGTCGAGGCAGCCCGTAGAGCAATGAGCTGGGACGCCAGACTCAACAAAGTAAGATCAGCCTCGCCCCACTTCGTCTGGAGGTCGCTGATGGTACCGACGACTTTACTGATACCGTTCACGATACTGAATATCGAACCCACTCCGCCGAGAATTGCGCAGACTTCTGCCATCTTTGCAGATTATCTCAATTTCGTGGCATGTCTGAAAGCCTTCTTGTTAGCTAAGTGCTGTCAATGCCGCATGGAAGGATTACCCGGAGTCGTATGAGTTACAGATACAACAAACAATGATAATCAAGAACGGAGATACCATCGAGTTGTGTAGTCGAATGCAAAAGTTTCGACGAGGCTTTAGATAGTTTGAGGCGCAGAACACCACTTCCAGTATCCAGCCCCCACGCTACGCCAATTGAAGTCAGTCAGACGAAAGCCCGATTGGTCCACCCACTGTCAGCTCAAGCTTACATTACTCTGGGTAAATTGAAAGTGTATTGAAAGCGATCCCACAAGAATATGTACGAACATGCGAATAATAGTCCAACATTGGTAGCGGCCACACATGCAGCTTATCGACACTCGAATGAGGCAGCCTCGTCAGGATTTCCTCCAACGTATAACATGTGCTTGGGCCATAAGCAAAGCTGCGCCTTCCTACCCTGCGTAGTCTCCGCTTCCAGCATCTCAGGCGCCACACCCTTCTCTACCCAATCAATGAGGCTTTTAAGACCATCGCCAGGATACCAACCCAGCCCACCGCCGCAGTGATCCACGCCAGGCGCCTCAAAGTAGCGATAGTAATCACTGGCATTCGAATCCCGCTCATGCACTTGCTGCGCGTAATGCGCAGTCGCATCAGGCGCGATAGCCTGATCCGCCAGCCCATGCCACGAAAGGAGCTTGCCACCCGCTTTCCGAAATCCGTCGAGATCTGTGTCTGCGGTACCGATAACGGAGTCGTAGCGGGCTACAGCATCATGGAAAAGCTGCTCAAAATACGTGATGTTCATTCGTGCCGTGTCGTATTCGCGGTCGCGGATGACAAAGTCGGTAATCCAGGTTTGAGGTACGGCAAACGGTACGCCGACGCATGTATTGTTCTTGCTGCATGTTGTTGATGCGAGGCCAACGAATGAAGCCCCGATGTTGCCGGGGTACCACAGGAATTCGCCTTCGGGAGTTGTTGCGCCTTGCCATATCAACTTTGCTACCTTGGCTAGGGTATTCGTGATGGTCATGCTCTGGTTAGTAGAGGGACAGAGGTATTGTTTGCCAACGACGGTCATTGGGTCAAAGGTGCAGTCTTGAGGTGCCAATATGATGCCGTCCTCCAGACCATCGAGACCATCGCAGGCTTCAGCAACAGCAACGTTGATAGCCTCAAATTCCTGCGGAGTCGGAAACCCTGTTGTGTGTCAGTCATACATATCTAGCCGTCGTTTGAGTACTGACCATTCTCGTTCATGACAACCTGCGGCCAGAAGAGTTGCATCATCAACTCGTTCCAGTAGATAGCTGGTGCAGCCGCCAATATACCGTCGTACTGGTCTGGATACTTCTGCGCCATCATGTAGCCTTGCCTGCCGCCCTGAGAGCATCCATTCCAATAGCTATAGCTCGGTGCTTTGCCATAGTAAAGATGAGTGACCGCCTTTCCCAATGTCGCGGCATCATCTAAAGAGATAGAGGCAAGGTCTTCAAGCAACACCCAGTCGACCTTGCCAGAGTTAGTGAGCGACCAGCTGATATCTTGCCCGATGTGACCTCCGTCTGTCGCGACGGTAACGAAACCCTCGCTGGCCGCCCATGGGAGTGTAGTGTTGGTTTCGGGTCCCGCAGCCCATCCTCCACCACCAGCGCCCAAGAGTCTTCCTGTCCACTTCTCAGGCGAGGGTAACCAAACGACCGTGTGGATAGTGTCATTGGAGCCGGGATGCGTGTATGTAATGATCACTTCACAAGCGTGCAGATCGGTCACCGCAGTGGCGTAATGGTTTTGCTCCGCGGGAGCTTGAAATGATAAGTTCGTGTGTGTTTTTGTGGCAATGTCGAGAATTTCGCCGCCTGGCAGCTCCAGATTTTGGAAGGAAGAAGATTCGCATACTGGTTCTCCGAAGGCTGGGCATGTCAGAAAACCCAATATAAAAATGAGGGAAATGAGACTTCGTCTCTTCCATGGAGTTGTGTGCTGCATCGTAGTCGCAGGAAAGGCTGAGAAAGCTACTCGTCCAGAGTTACTTACACTGCATACATTGCTTCCTTTACTTATAGCAAGCGCATACTGGACTCATTTACACATTCATCCTGAACTGAAGGATTCAACTGAATACCCATAGGGATACCTACGTTGGTCAGTTTGCGACAAAGGCTGAGGCCATGCCAATATGAAAGGAGTATCAGCTGCCATCAGGCGCTCTACTGCCATCCAATCGTGACAATGATCGATTCTAGCGTGTCTCTCGATCGAAGTATGCAAATTGATGGACAATGGCTGAGTCATGTATTCATGACTTGAGCCGCGCCTCAAGCTTTTGAAACAAAGGGCGTTTAATTTAAACCCCTGTTGTGGCGGTTTGAGTGGTTTTGAGGCCATTTTGTTAACGCGATGTCTTGCATTGTTCAATATGCTGTGCCGCTTTGGATCATCTCTTCTTGCTCCAGATGTTGTTTTTGTTAAGACCCGTAGATGAAGTGGTAGTGGATGACGACCGTTGATGATCGAGGTCTCTGTACTCTTTGAGCGCGGCACACCGCTGTCCGTGCCACAGGTCCAATGAACCGAGTCTGTGTGGCTTCAGGCCGCGAGCATCGGATACTATCTTCGTATGGTCGTCGCGTATCGCGGTTGATGGAACATGGGTAATTGTGCGACCAGCGACGCAAGGTCGGCCATCTGTGGCGGCAACACTATGCCTATTTAGGAACACCCGAAGACGTCACCACGCGTCAGTTTCGCGAAGTATCACAAACCGTCCTCAACCTTCGTCAGCGATTACACCTTCGAATCCGTAGACACGTCCGTCTTTCCCACCAAGCCTACAACGAAATACCGATTCGGCTCTTGAATTACCCCACATACCTCGTGTGGGGCAAGAGCTACCCCGAGACCGCCCCGCATCGGACACGTACCGGTCGGAACTATGCCGCCCACATGTTCACAATGGCAAACTTCATATCTTGGAGACAGTCTCTAGTCTAAGAGAAGAAGCCACTGATACCCTAAGATCTACTATCAACACACCGCGACCATGGATCCAGCACAATTCGGCTACAGCACCATCCCTCTCAACCACGCGCCATACGGCCCAATCGTTCCATCCGCTCTAGAAGGATCCAATGCTGGAAAAGTAGCCCTCATAACGGGAGCCGGACAAGGCATCGGCGCCGCCATCGCAGAATCGCTAGCAAAATCTGGAGCTCACCTAGCCATCCTCGACCTAAACACCGACAACCTCACACAAACCAAGAAGACATGTTCGGCGTTCGGAGGAAAGGTCGAGGCATATGGCTGCGATGTCACGGATATGGAGCGCGTGAAGGAGGTTTTCGCGCAAGTGGAGAAAGACTTGGGACCGATTGATATACTGGTGAACAACGCGGGCATATTTACTCAGCGACCGTTCATCATGGGTAATTTTGAGACGTTTTGGAAACAGATCGAGGTCAACTTCAAGGCTGTAAGTCTGTCTTTCCGTACATTAATGTGTCTCTACTAATGTATGTACAGCCTCTAATGCTCATCCACGCTGTCCTTCCACAAATGCGCGACCGCGGTCACGGCTGTATCATCAACATCGCTTCTCGCTCCGGTACTGTCGACGTACCCATGACGTTGGGATACGTAACGTCAAAAGCGGCTCTGATGCGTGCTACACACACATTGCAGCTGGAGATGGAACTAGATGGACTGGACCCAGCCATTCATATGTATGCGCTGCATCCAGGTGGAGTGAGAGGCAATATGGGCGGAGGTGAGAAATACCCATTTGCATCGGAATCCGAGAGGTATGCTAACATAATTTAGCTGGAGCGCCAGATGATGTGAAGCAGAAGTACGGCGACATTACGGACGAAGAGTTCTTCAAAGACCTTTTCAAGGACGGACCGTCGCTTTGCGGTCAGACGTGTGCATGGTTGGCTAGTGGAAAAGGGAAGGAGTTGAGAGGGCTGTTCCTAGGTAAGAAGCGCGTGCTCTGAAGATCGAAAACCTGGGACTGACAGCATGCAGATTGCCGGCAAGATGTGACGAAGCTCTTGGACATCGGACGAGAAACACTGCTGAAAGAGAACCGGAATAGGCTGACAGTGAACTTCATTGATGGATACTGCAATGAGCCATAATGGTTGGAACAGAAAGCCAATGTATATTCAGGGGGTGAAGAGTCGGCATATTACAAGATAAAAGACAAAATCTCAAGAACAGAACTAATTCCATATACAATCCGCCACCTTTCCTCCCCTCCACTCAAATCGTCCTCCTAAATCACTCTTGTCTTCTCGCGACATAGGCGACGAGGACCAGGACCCATGTGGGATATACTTAGTAAACAGGCATCTTGAACGCATCAAAAGTGTACGTCCAGCTCTCAATAGACGCCTCATCCTGAACACATTCAAAGTCAGAGCTGTTTCCTGCCCAAAGCGGTCGTGCAGGCCACTGGCAAAGCTGTTGCACCTCTCCAGCGTTATCACCCGCCGACACAGTCGCATTGAGGCGACTGGGCTTAACCCCATTCTCAACCCAATCAATAATCGTAGCCATGTTATCCTGCGGGTAAGGACCAGGCTGGAGCTTATTAGCACCACAGTGCGCCGCGCCAGGCACAAGGTAGAATTGGTACCAGTCAGCCATGGCTTCCTGGGCTTCGGCATCGGTCATGTTGGGGTACATGATTGAGCGGACGGACTGCCAGTAATGAACGGATGATGCAGCGGGAATGGACGGGTCCGACTCGCCGTGGTAGTGAATCATCTTGGCGCCGGAGGACTGGAACGGAGTAAGATCGGGTAGAGTGGTTTGCAGGCTGTCGAGGTAGCGGATCATGCCAATGTTCATCCATTCTACAAGCGTGTCGTAGGTGACGTTGTCGAGGTTGGCGAGGTTGTCTAGGTCGAGCAGTTGGACGAACTTGGTCACGTACTCGCCGCCCGTGGAAGGAATGCTGAGCTCCCACTTTCCGGTCGCGTTGTTGTATGTTGGATCGGCATCGCTGAGTTCGGAGCCGATCTGCCAGGAGAGGTATGCGCGCTCGCCCTTGGAGTTATGTAGACCGTCATAGACGCCCTGGGCTACCGCGATGTCGTCTGCAGTAATGGTGCCGTTCTGGTCGGGCTGAGCGCTGGTTTGGCCACCCGGCATCTGGCGCTTGTTGAGGTCGCGCTTGCTGAAGCCGAAGCCGAGGGAAGTGCTGGTCTGCGCTGCGCAGTAGTAGCTTTCGCCGATCAAGGAGCTGAGGTTGAAGTTGAGTTTGCAAAGGTCGGTGCGAGATATGACACCTAGAGTGACTCATGTTAGTGCATTACCACATGGCCGAGGATATTGTACTTACCATCAGTACGTCCATCCAGAGGATCACAGACAGCGATAGTGGCGTTGACAATCTTGGCTAAAGCGCATGGTGGAGGATAGTAGTCGTTGATAACGTTGATGGTAGCAGGGTAGACATGAAGCACCTGCTGCTGCGCAAAGCGGAAAGCAGGCGCACCAGCTACGACGCCATCGTACTCCTCGCCCCAGCGCTGTACCTGGCTCATAGCCTCACGGCCACCATCAGAGCAGCCCTCGAAATAGGTGTATACCTTGGTGTCGTTCAGACCGTAGAAAGCCTGTGTGAGCGGCTTGCCAATCTTCGTCAACTCCCCCAGCGCGGTGTAGGCAAAGGCGTAGGTAGCATCCCAGTTGATGGTTCCGTTGCCATACAGCACTGCCTCATCATAGCTCTGGTCGAAAGCGTCGTAACCTGCCGATGTGGCTCCAGAAGCCGCGTCGTATGGCAAACCTCCGGTGGCAACGCTCTGGAGAGAGAAACCTCCGCCACCAGCAAGATAGAAACGATTCGCGAAGCTCGAAGGATCCGGGAAGGCGAATCTGAGGGGGATTGCGTCTCCCTTTCCAGTATGGGTATAGCTGACAGTGACGTTGCAGTAGGAGTAGGTAGCAGCATCAGTTGTCGACGCTCCCATGCCGCTGCTTTCAAGGGTAGCATTGTAGAGCGCACTGGCAGTCACGGTGCCGGGTAGCAATTCGATTCCGAGAAGAGTGCCGTTAGAAGGAAGAGAGGCTTGCACGTTCGATACTGTGCAAAGTTCAGCTAACGAGGCTGCATTGGCGGCCACTGCCATGGCGGCAGCCGTTGCGCAGGACGAATGTCGCATGATGGATGTATAACCGAGAAGAACGTAGAAACAAAGCCAAGGTAGAAGATAGAAAAGCTGTAGTAGCGGGGTGGTGTTCGAGATATCTGTCGCGGTATCTCAAGCATTATATACTCCTTACCAATCCTGACTCGGGCTTTTGACTCCGCCATCGCAGTCGTAGTAAGGAAATCCAATCTGTGGCGTAGACTTTTTCCATACTCACAATGACCCCTGGTAATCTCTTAGTTGACCGTCATCAGATCTGTGGAAACATTCTTGTCCATGCGTGCCCTGTCAGAGGTCTGGCCGGCGATGTCTGGCACTGTAATGACGGCAATTTCCGCCTTGCGCAGCATCGCAATACGTGTTTAGTGATGCAAAGAGAGAAGAAACATAGTGCGCCCATCGTTTCAATCGTTGCGCCGCGTCACTTGAAGGCTGCTTGCTGGTCGTAGACGTGAGCTGAAGACGCGTTCTCGGTTAGCGTGGATGTGGCCCAAGCTTGGAAGAGCCTTCTTCCAGACAAGCCTCGCTGCACACGCTTTCGAAGGTTTCTGCGTGCAAGGCTTGCAGCGAAGTTTTCACTCGGATGAAAGATCAAGCGGCTGTACAGACATGAGGCCGCGTATTATCGCGGCGAAGTTTCGGGATTGAGCGATGTAATGGGCAGTTCGCCCGAGGTAATGGATCAATCTTTATCATGACATTATTTGATCGTTTGCAAGTACGTTGCTATATGCAGAGTGGGCGTCACTCGGCGTGTATATGTGGAATCTACGCTTCTGATCACACTGTCTCTTTTGTCTCAACATGCTCCGTGCTGAGCCCCTTCTCAAACTTCTCTTCTTCATGCGCAGCAATCCTAGCATCGGCTTCGATGAATTCGGCTGGGCGATGTAGCTGTATAGCGAGCTTGTTCCGATGGATCAAGATACCAGGTTGCGTTTCAAAGAAGCGATCGATATCTTCAAGCGTCCGGTTCGCCGTCTCTGGATAGAGGAAGTACGTGATCGGGATGAAGGAGAAGCAGATGACTGCCCAGATGATCCAGAACTTGTAGCCTAGGTTCTGGATACCGGGGAGGGTTGCTTGCACAACACCATAGTTGCAGATCCAGTTGGTCGCCATCGCGAGGGAAGCGCCTTTGGTTCTCATCTCAAGCGCGTTGATCTCGGTCGGGTACAGCCAAGGCACGCCTAGCACGCCCATGCCAAAGCTGGCGAAGAATACGAAAAAGAACGCAACAGCGACGATGCCCAGCTTGTACGAATCGCCACCTTTCTCGGTCTGACCCTGCGATGCTGCGATGACGATCCAACAAATCGAGCATGCCGCAGCCGAGACCATCATGACCTTGCGACGTCCATATCGCTCAATGACGAAGTAGGCCAAGCAAGCAAAGATGAGATAGTCGACAGACCCGGCAGCAGCGAGGATGCGCGATAGTAGCTCGGATATTCCCAAGGCGTTGATAAAGATATAAGACATGTAGTAACTCGTGACGTTGATTCCGGAGATCTGGTTCATGGCCTGCATCCAGGCGCCCAGAAGCATGCGTCGCAGCACACCGCTTGGGCCTTTACCGGTAAGAAGCTGCGTCCATGTGTATGTGTTCATTTGCTCGCGGTCGAGAATGTCCTTGATGATGTTGTACTGCGTGATAACCGAGGGTGATTCTGGGGTCGCTCCATGGCCTTCGAGCGCAGCAAGGACTTCCAAAGCTTCGTCGATCTTGCCCTTGCGGATCAGTAACCGAGGCGAATCTGGTAGGAACGGGCACATGGCGTAGATGCACAGGGTGAAGAAGAGTTGGAATGCGAGCGGGAAACGCCATGCGATATCACGCGGTGCGAACGAGAAGCCGAGAGTCAGCCAATTCGAGATGCTGAAGCCGGTGATGCAGTTCGCTGTTGACGAATTAGCCGAAATGTCACACTGTATGTTGAAAATGCCGTACCCATCTGGATGATAACGAGCTTTCCTCGACTATTCATCTTACTGGTCTCAGCCTGCCAAACTCCAGCCGTTGCTGTGTTCATGCCAGTACCAAGCCCCGCCACAATGCGCCCAACCATCATGCTTGCTACAGTCCAACTACATGTCTGGATGATTGCGCCGATGCCGATGATCGTCGAACCGAGGAGAATCTGCCTTGGGCGTCCGAGAATGTCGCCAGTCCAGATGGTACTCATCGCTCCGATGAAGCAGCCGATGTTGTAGATGGATGTCATCACACCTTGCATGTTGGCAGATGGGTAGCCAAAGGTGTGGAGGAAGTTCTCTGAAATGATGACATTGCCGAAGACACCTTGATCGTAACCGTAGAAGCTAATGAGTGTCAGACAATCGCGATGCAAGATAGGTTCATCGTAGCTTACACGAGTACCGTACTGGCGGCGATGGAAATCCATACTGTCAGCCGCTCACCAGAGCCTCCAAGATATTTGCGTGCCATGGTCGCGTACTCCCTGTCCAGCTAGCGATTTCAGGAAGTATGTGATCGTGGATGCAGAGTAAGAGATGTCGTGGAAGAAGGAAGTCCCTCAAATCAAGAGATGTCAATAGCCGGTCCAATGCACTGGGCCTGTACCAAACTTTGTCATCTGCAACGGGGTCGCAGCGACGATCAACTCTTTATACCGGGCATGAGCCCTGGCTCGGGATCTTCTCCGCTTATCATTATCCTCGTCATGCGAAGCTTGTCAAGCCTCACAAGCCTCTGGTCGTCCCCAGATCCACTGAACTTCCCCAGACTCTGATCAAATATCCGATACCCCATAGGCCGAGGGCCCACTCGGTCCACACTGGAGCTCTGTTACTGGTGATAGCGGCATTTTAGCCGAGCGAGGAGGCAATGAGTGATCAAAGCGCAAGGGTGGAAGGGCGAATGCAGCCATGTTGAGGTTGCAAGTAGGGAGATGATGCATCGCGGAATACTAATTCAGGGAAGGCGGAAAGATGCGTCGGCTGATGAGTACGGAAGGTGAAGCGAGCGCGGGGTAGCGAGGAAGGTGCGCCGAGTGTGGGGAAAATCGATGCTGAGCTCCAACGCCACAACACGAAAGCCACGAAAACCTTAGCATTCTTGTACGAGCCTCTGAAACAAAGCTGGCAATACAGCCGGTATATCATGCCCAAGCTCTTCCCGGGCATTCAACCACGCGAGTGCCGAATGAGGGAGGTAGCCTCGGGAACTCCCCGCAGTACTCCTCTCCTCCAATCTATCCAACGGAAGAAATAGACTAAACTTGAAGTCGCGCATCATAGTCCCCTGATCTGCGCATCATATCCAAACATGTCGAGCGCAAGGTCTTCCACTTCGAGGAGTACTTCCGGCATACGAGAGGTATACGCACGAACTCATTCCTTCCACCGGTAAAAGGTCGCTCGCGGCTTCTTCGTGTTGATGATGAACTCAAAATGTGGAAGTATAAAGAGACGGGGTATTCGTATGGACGGGCACGAAGCACATCGACCAGGACATACACACCATGATCTTAACCAACTCTGTTCTTCTGACCCTCGCTGGAGCGACCCATGTCGCCTCGCAGTCGTTTCAACTGACGCCTGTCATGGGTTGGAACTCATACAATCAGATGTCATGTAGCCCCAACACCCAAAAGATCACCACGACCATCAACTCGCTCGCGAGTCGCGGGTTCGTCGACGCTGGCTACAAGTTCTTCCAGATCGATTGCGGGTGGGCTTCAAGAGATGGACAACGAAACGCTACTAGCGGCGCACTGAAGGTGGATCTGAAAGCCTTTCCGGGTGGTTTGAAGCCTTTGAGCGACCTTGCAAGGTCAAAGGGCATGAAATGGACAATGTACTCGGATGCCGGTGTGAGAATGTGCGACCCAGAGGCGCCGAGCCCTGTCTTGGGTTCATTGGGTCATGAAGCTGCCGATGCGGATTTCTTCAAGACGCTGAACACCGAATACGTCAAGTGTATGTCTGAGAAGTGATCGCATATCTTGACCACTAAGCTGACAGCCTTTCAGATGACAACTGCTATGCTGACGGACCTGCAGCTAGCCAGAACGCTCCTAAGAACGCCAGAACTGATTTCGTCACCCGCTTTGGCGTTATGTGGAAAGAGCTTCAACGCGTCGGTATCCCGGGCATGTTGATATGCCAATGGGGCGTTCCTTTCACAACCTCTACTGGTCTCCAGGGACCTGCTCAGTGGACGAAGCCCATCTCGACTTCCTTCCGGCTTTCAGACGACATTACTTCAGGGTGGGCCTCCATGTTCCGCATCTACAACCAAGCTGTGCACATTGCCAAATCAGGTCTAGTCGCCCCGGGGCACATCGCCGATGCTGATCTGCTCATGGTCGGCAACTCTGGTATGACATTCGACGAGCAAGCTACGCACTTCGCCGCGTGGGCTATGCTGAAGTCGGCGCTCATGGTCTCAACCGACGTAGCGGCTCTGTCGAACGAACTCGTCGCTGTTCTGCAAAACAAAGACCTGATTGCGATCAACCAGGACTCCGTTGTCAAGCCGGTCACTCTCCGTCAGCGTTGGAGCGGGGACCGCGACCTTTGGGCTGGCGACCTCGCCAATGGAGACATGGCCGTCTTGGTCGTAGACCTCAGCAACACTGCGCGTACGCTGAGCCTGCAGCTCTCCGAACTCGACATCGCATCGGCATCGATCAAAGATCTCTGGACGGGTAAGACTGTTAGCGAAGCCTCCCTGTCCAAGCAAGTCAAAGCGCACGGATCTCTCGCCATCCGCCTCTCCAACATCCGCCGCTCGACAGCGGCCAAACCCACATACAAGTATGTCTCCGCATCAACCGGCTCCCTTTCCTCGGGTGCATCTACCCAGTCCTGTTCCGGTTGCACGTCTTCCAACAAAGTCGGTAACCTGGGCGGTTCGTCAAACGGTCGCGTAACGCTCTCCAACATCCGCACCTCCAAAGCGACACAGACAGTGTACTTTGACTACATCAACGGCCAGGTCGACTACATGGGCGGCAGCAACGAGCGCGTCGCATCGGTTAGCGTGAACGGGGGTGCAGCAAAGACCGTCAGCTTTCCTCTGAGCGGATACAATTGGGACAAAGATGTATACAAGAACTACGGCGTCGAGTTGTCGGGCTTCAGCACCACAGGCACCAACACCATCACGATCTCTGGCGTTGGCAGTGCGTACGCGCCAGATGTTGATAGGGTTGGTGTTGTTGCTTAGGTTTTGCCGCCCGAGCCCCACTTTCATGACACAATAATCCACGCGCAGGCAGCGAGGGCGTGCACCTGTCTAGAGCTCCATATCATGATTGCAACAGCGACAACACTTCCTAAATCTAGAAATTGTATTTTTGATTTTTTAAAAAAGGAGTCAAGGAAATAAACAATTGCGATGAACGTCGTGTTTCAACCGACAAGAAAAAGTTGACCACTGCTACAATTCCGATCAGTCTGGCCAAGCTCGCCCCTGCCCACTGAGCTCATCATTCTTTTAACCCCCTGCATTTCACCAGTTCGGGCTCGATCTTACCTTCCCTATTGAGACCTTCATACAGTGCCCAGGCTGCCAACGTCTTTGCATCGCGTGGACAAAGCTTCCACAACTCCTCGTAGTCACACACACGCAATGTAATCATCTCTCCTTGCTTCCTAGTCCCCGTCAGCCTTCCTCGCAGATCCATAATCTCCTGACGATTCAATTCCTGATGACACAGTCAGACTATTTCGTACCAAGCGGACATGTGGATAGAAGTACCTTCTCCCATAAAAAGATATGGATGTATTCATCTGACCCTCCAGGACTAGGGTACATGGCATCCTGCAGGGCTTCGTCCATGAGCAATTCGCCTTCGGGTTTCGACTGGCTCAGCGCCAACTTAGTGAGGTCGATAAGCTCGTGTTTCGGTAGCTTGAAGCCGGTTTCTTCCTCGATCTCTTTCGCGGCTTGCCCGCGGAAATCGCCCGCATCATCGAGCATGCCCGCTGGGATCTCGACGAACTTGAGACTACCTGCTGGGACTCGTGGCTGCTCTGTCATGACCACCCATCTTTCGTCCCTCGAATCTACTGGCCGTAGCACCATCAGCATAGCCACGCTTCCTCCCCGGAGGAAAGCGATTCCAGGAAGTGCTTTGTTTTCTGAGTTTCGTATATCAGCCTTGAGCTTTATGAAACCGATTTTGGTGGGCGAGAAGTAGTCCACGGATTGAATTTCGATGCTCTTGAGAACATATGGGTCTTTCGAGAAGGCGTGGTCCTTATCGTCAGATTGAAGTGCCAGGTTCTTCCGAAGTGTGTCTTTCCAGTTGCGGAACGCGGCGAACTGCAACAGCTTCTCCTGTGTGATCTTCTTGGCCAGATCCACTGTAACAGGCTCTGGAAATCCATTTAAAATGAACTCATCCGTCATGTTTGTTGTCATGCTCCGTAGGCCGATAATGTCAAGGGACTGAGTGCTCGGGTCTCGTACCACCGAAAGGGCTGGAGAGGACTTTGACTTCCGGTTTCTTACAATCTTCCGTCATGCGCCAAAATATATACTTGTGTTGTCAATGTACGACGAGATCGCCCAAGTACAATGTGCTAAGTTGATCTTGTAGAGGACTTGGCAGCAAGCTTTACGTGTAGTACATGACACATATTAATGGCAAATCCGAGACACGCCTTGCATACCATCAGCTGAAAAGAAATTCATGCAGTGACAATGTCCTTGGGCCGGAAGCGGGGTTCCCGTGGTTGAATCAGGACTTGCCTTCTTCCGGTGAAAGTCAGCTCATTCAATGGTCCAATGCCTGCGCACGCAGTTATCGTCGGTGGAATCATCTCGGAGACATCGGTAGTAGGATCACGAATGCGGGCATCGAGGCTATCGAAGGCACGCGTTTCGGCAGCGAAGGTTTCAGCTGGTGTAGATCATGACCTAAAGACGGCTTTTCAGTCAGAACCATTTTCCAGATGCGTCAGGTTGATCTGTCGCCTGCTACAAGGTAGACCTGGAGAGCTTCGGTCGTTGGCCATTTCTCATGTGGGCTTGCAGCCAACTGCGCCTTCATTGGCTCCACAAATGCATTGTCAGCGGAGCTGAATACCCAAAAACAAATTCTGACCCTGCAGATACCGCTCGACCCGTGTCATTACTACTCTAATTCCGCTGTCGCGGTGGATCTATCCCGACCATAATGCCAAGCCAGTCGCTCCCGGGCCGCCGTCAAAGGCTGATTCGGGTCGTGCTCTGACTGGCTCCACAACAACGGAGATCTACGTTTTCCGGAGATACGAATTTCGAATGCACATCACACTCGGTTCTGTTGGTGTAAAGGTTGATGTTCAAGCACCGCTTTTGTCGAAAGGCGCAGCTGCGCGTGGACGTGCTACCGGATATAAGTGAGCTCAATCTCCTGCATTTATTTCTCTTACATCGCGATAGCACACCTTATCCTTTCCCTACTTTCACTTCCACGGCAGGATGCTTTGTCATACTTGTAGCGGCATGCTCCGCATGCAAAATGGAAAACAGTGGAGGGGGACTTACGACCTGCATTTCGATCACCACAAACTGTTAAGAGATCTATTCTCTTCCAAGGAGATGAACTGCGGGATCTGCCGTGTTTTGTTCGAAGAGCTGGAGAACAAGCACGGCTCAAGACTCGACGACATTGAAGTGGATGACACACGTATCATTAACATACGAGCGTTCCTGTTCATCCCCAATCCTAGAGAGGACCCTTTATACTGCCTCACTTTCAAGTTTTGCTATGGCCAAATCCAATGTCAGCGAGCCTTCGTTTTGAGAGAGACCGGTAAGTTGCTGAACATATTCAAAATACGTAGCTTACGAATGTAAAAGGCTCCATCGACCCACCGCCTTTCCGAACTCCAACTTCCAGCACGACCGATTCCGATGAGGTGCTCCAGCGCACCATCCAGTGGATGGCTAAATGTCGATGTGTTGAAAGAGACAGACCTCCTTCCTATCCAACACGACTGGTAAATCTCCGGCAGTTGAAACAACCACGTTTTCTTTACGGCACGTCTCTGGAGGCGAGCGTCAGAGACACAGGAATCGAAGTGCAGCTGGAAGAAAAGTGCGACTGGGAGGATGAGAGGCCAACTGAGTATGTTCGCTATGTTACTCTCTCCCACTGTTGGGGTAATCTTCCACCCGAAGAGCGAGTGAAGCTGAGCTCTGAGAATGTTGAAGAATTCAAGAGAGGCATCAGGCTGGACAGCCTGCCCACGTCGTTTCGCCATGCCATGTTGTTTGCAGCACGGCTTCCGGAAGTCGGTTACATCTGGATCGATAGTCTTTGCATCAATCAAGGTGATGTAACGGACTGGCTAGAACAGTCGGCAAGCATGGGCGAAATATACAAGAATGCTTACTTGAACCTCTCCGCTACTGCTGCAATCAACAGCGAGCAGGGTCTTTTCGCTGAGCGCGCACCCGAAACACTGATCGAGGACGAAGTCATTCTCAATATCGCTGGTCTTCCTGGAGCCACGAGCGTTCCTTCCAGCCCATGGCGACCATCTCAAAACGCCAAAAAGTCTGTTTTACAGATACTCGGCGCATTCTGGCCCATACGATGGCTTATGAGATACCTCCCGAGACGCATGTACATGCAGGCCATGACATTACCTATTGAGAAGAACCAATCAACAAGCGCAAGACTGGGTTCGAAAGGCTTGCTGACGATACAATCTTCCCGTCAGCCGCCACATAATTGGCTAGATGCCGGAATCAGCGAGGATACCAAAGGGAAAGATTTACGAAGATGCACAATCTTAGATCTCTCTTTTTGGGAGTATCGAGTCGACAAGGCGCCAGTGAACAAGAGGGGATGGGTGCTTCAGGAACGTCTCATGGCTCCTAGGGTATTGCATTTCTGCCGAGATCAGGTGGCTTGGGAGTGTCGTGAGTTCGAGGCTGCTGAAGGCCAGCCGGTAGGCATGCCGAACTATCAGCTCACGATGGGTGGCATAAGAGCAGGAAGCAGGCTGAAAGGTCTCAACCCGCAAAAAGATGGGCGCTGGCTACGGAACATGCGCTTGCAGGGATACAAAGATCCTGATCCTGAACTCCCGAGCATATATGCGTTTGAGCTTTGGCGCCGTATTGTTGAGGAATACTCCAAGACAGCCGTCACGAATACAGGGGACAAACTCATCGCGTTATCTGGTATGGCCCGGTTCATGTCCCAACAAATCGAGAGGGCCCCCGAACCCGCTGACGTGAGGAATGTTGGTACCGCCGGGAGTGAAACCAGTCAACGCGAGCTTCCAAGTTGTACTCAGTATGTGGCCGGCCTGTGGGTACTGTATCTAGCGAGCCAGCTTCTATGGTATGTTGAGCCAACATTTCGGCGCGTTGACGGTGGCAAACTGGAACATCTTACGACGGCACCATCAGATTACCGTGCACCATCCTTCTCTTGGGCCGCCATAGATGCTCAAGATGGAAACGGCATCACGTACGGCGAGGTCACTGACAAAGAAATCCTCATAACCGTTGTAAAGGCATCAGTAACCCCGCGGTTGCCATCCGACGAATACGGGATGCTGGAGGGTGCCTACATCATACTTCATGCGAAGCTGCGCAAAGCGAATCTCTTCAGGAAGGGTAAGGATCGTTTTGGGTGGTGTCTGGTCGGTCGTGAAAAACTCGACGAAGATGAGCACACCGATGTGTATCTGGATTGCCCTGCCAGAGACTGTACCGGACTGAACAACAAGGGGATTCTCGGCCGTGACGCGGGAGTGTTTGTGGTTCCCGCTGCCCACACCGACCGCAAGGCTTCGCCAAAGTCCAAATATCTGACTTGCCTCATCCTACGGCTCGATAAAACGCGCCCAGCAGGGCCGGTATTCCACAGGATCGGCTTGACGAAATTGAGTCCATACGGGGACCATAGGGCTCTGGACGACAACGAGATACTGAAGCCGTACGATAGCGACGTGAATATGGTGAAGGATGTAGAGTATAACCCAAAGACGGGTATGCACCGTATCTGTCTCGTCTGAGACAGGTCCCCGGGGTCGGTGATGTGCTTCTTTGGATTTCGGGTGCGGCCGTTACTGACGTCACACCAGCTGGGCAACCACGCCTACCTTGGAATCTATCCATATCACCTGACGCCTCAATGTTTCTTTTGCTTCAACGAAACTTTGTAGCGGACTTTTCTTACATCGGCTCATCAAAGGGCCTTCCAGTAGATGAGTATATGCGTCAGATGTTGAGGGGGCGGACGTGAACGTCTGGCTCGCGATCGGCTCAATTCGGCGCATTTCTGTCTTTCCAGCCACGCTTGATTAGCCGGCTCAGCCACCTTTTTAGCGGTCTGGACATCTCCTTTGCGACGTACTACGGATGTTTATGAAGCACAATGAATGAACAACACTATATTTTCGGTCCGACGCCAAACCTCCGGCTGGGTATAAGGTGAATACGCACACAATCTGCTCTTCTGTCAGCCCTCTGTCAGCCAAGTCCAGCGCATCATCGCGATAAATTTCTCCGTATCGTTACCTCGTGCGCTAATCGAGTGGTTGTTTGAGCTGTCGCATGTGCCAAATCTTACGATGATTGATGCGATATCTGCGTATTCGGTGTTTCTCGCATCTAGGCTTACCTCGTAAAATGACTGACCGCGTTTCCAAAGCAGCGTAGCATAGCACAGTGCATCTGACGTATGCGCATCTCTTAGCAATGCAGCGCATGAGCGAATATTAAATATCTCGGCCCTACAATACGCAGGTACAATGATGAATACATAAAGATCTTCACATCCTCTGTTTCCTTCTCCACCACTCCAGCTCCACAGTCGCACGTCACCGCTTCAAGCCTCACTTCCAAACACCAACAAGCACCTCAAGATGCAGCTCCAATACCTCCTCCCCGCCGCATTCCTCGCCGCCTCAACCATGGCCGCAAAATTCAACGGCTTCTCCGACATCGCCTGCCAACAATACGACGGCACCTACATCCCCATGACAGCAACCCAGCTCCAAGACATCGTCGTCAAGAACTGGGCAACCACGCAAGAAATCCCCGAAGCATCGCGCTCCTTCACTGCGCCTGACGACAGGAAGCTCTGCCCTTCGAACTCGGATGATACGTACAAATGGGTGAGTACTATGATCGTATAGCTTGGCTTGGTGAAATGGTTGCTGACTAGTCTTCTTCTGTGGTGTAGGTTTCGATCCCGCAGTGGGGCCAGGGAAGCAAGTGGCCCGCTGGTAATGGTGGTGCGCTGGCGGTGGTTTACTACAAGGAGACTGATACGTACAATGTGTGCCGTTATCTTGCTGCTGCTCAAGCGGATGGGTATAAGGGTGCTTGCAAGTAGGTGGATAATGTAAATTACTTGTGTGATGAGCGAAGAATTGGACAACTCCTAGAGCGGTGCATCGTGTATACACATATTGACTGTATTTGTCGTAACGATCAATGGTTCACCATGTTCGTATCACGCGATACGGCAGTCAACGGCGTTGAATTCTCGCCAGCATCGATTGACTCAGCTTGGTATCACATTGCTTCGTTGAACTTTCACTATGTGTCTATTGCGTTAGATCTTTGAGGCATCATGCATGACCAAGCGGTACGTCAAGCTCGAAACACTGTGTAGCTATTTGTAATTTGCATTGATGAAATACTACTACACATGATAACTACCGATAGTCTAGGAAACGCACCTTGATTACTTGTGAAGCATACATTCGTGGTACAATTGGAAAGGAAAGCAGCGGTGGCATCTGGTATGAATAGTGCCATTTTCACGATAGAGCAAAGTGTCGAAGCTCTTACAGCTTATACATCTCCTTGAACGCTGCTACGCCTCCTGGCGGTCGTGACACGAATCCGCTGAAGATTTCGGCGTCCCACTCGTCGAGGAATTGCTGTGGTGTCCAGTGCTTCCGGGCTTCTATCATGCTCTTAGCATCCCAAGGGGCACCAGCGTCTCCAACGAAGTGGATGGAGCCAGAACCTTCGGTGATCTGTCGAACTATCGCGTAGAACGAGTCCGGTAGGTGGCATGGCATTTGGAATCTATTTTCCAGTGCCGCTTTGCTCAAAGATACGCCCCAATACAGTGGATCGTACAGCTCAGTGAGCTGAACATCTTCGTGTCTTTGCATATAGTCAGACTTGAGCATGGCCTCCTGAAGGCTAGCTGCATGCTTGAACGACTCCCATGCGGCAAGGCTTTCGTCCTGATGGCCTTCGATATAGATGCTGAGAGCCTGGGGGCGCGGGATGCTATCAAAGATCGGAAGGACCTCGTCCAAGAAGTCTGCAAACGGGCGTATCATTTCTAGCTTCATTATTAGACCTTCATTCACGATCTTGGAATGAGGCAGACGTAGCCAGAATGGATGGGTAAGGTTTGTCCAACACCCCACGTGCAAGTCGATCCGGAGGTTTTTATTCTCGCAGAGGTAAGGCTCAAGGGATCTTGCGTGTGACTCGGGGTAAGCTACGGCCAGTTTGTTTTCTCGGATGATGAGAGGAAGTCGTAGGCACATTCGTGTACTATGTGGCAACCTCTTGAGAAAATCGACCGCAACAGCCGTGGCTGAGAAGTACCAAGCTAAAGGTACTACAGGCTCAGTCCAATGCACCCTACTGTCAGCATCTGGGGAGACGGGGTCGGCCAAAAAGGATTCCAGAGCAAGATCAGTCTCGGTTGGTATCAGCGCCAGGTCCGGCTTCCACGCGAGAAGGGCGTTCTGGCATCCAGGCACAAACGGAGGCATCATGCCGCGACGGCTGAGCGGGCTCACCATGGACTCGGCTATCAAGTCATCAAATCTGGGATGCGAGGATGCGAGCTCTAACGTGTAATGCAAGGCGTCGCAGAAGGTTGCTGACGTTTGCCACCGCCATTGATAGTCGAATGAGTGGACTCCAGTGCCCTTGTATAGCTCGTCTCCTGACTTTATGGCATTGTATGCTTTTCGATAGCAGCGGGCAATACCGGGAAAACGGGTGGCCACCTGATCAACCATTTCCGGGGTGACGCATCCGCCCTCGGCCACGAAATGCAGCATGTGCATCTTCGTGCGCCTCGCGCATTGTACTAGTCGCTCGAACCGTCCGGCCTTGGAATCGAGGTCGTTTACGTTGGTGCCGTCCTGTGCGGAACGCGCGGGGAAGAAGGTTACGGTATTAGCTCGCAATGCAGCGTCCTGTATCTCCTCAGCTGCCTGCTTGCAGCTGCGTGTCAGCGCACTCAAGTCCTGGTGGATAGTCTGATTCGCGTACCGCAACTTGCCAGAAGGGTAACTGTAAAATACGCCTTCGCTGTGGTGCGCGTAAGCCTCGTAGATGTCGTCGCGCAACTCGCGAGGTAAACGGAAGAAGGGGGATTGCTGTTGATCGGATCTGGCATGCGACGAGGGCGTAGCCGTGCTTGAACACGACGGAGTATTACTCATCGTAAAGTAGGAGAGTGGAGGAGCTTGCTAAGTGACGTTTTGCAAGACGGGTATCCGATTAGAGGAAGCTCGATGTGGAGGGGCCGATGGGGAGTCTTAAATTCTTCGCTCACCACCAGCAGCCCGGTAGGCTAGGCGCCAGCATGCCAAGAGCGGCACGTGCACCACTGAACCATGGTTCCCGATGCCGCCAAAGGCACCCCGCGTCGCCGCTTCACCATCCTCTCCCCCATCCTCTCCCCCATCCTCTCCCCCATCCGCCCACCCTCTCCACACCACGACAGCAACAGCAACAGCAACAGCAGACTTTGCGACTTCAAATTCGATTCAATCTTGAACAACACCCAACTCGATTGCGCGCAACTATCTACAGCGATACATACAATTCACACGTGTGGTCGCCTCCCAATTGGCTCTGCCTACCAGCCCAGACATGGCGCGTCGGAGGTCGCGCGTCGCGCGCCGCCGCCTCACCACACCTGAGCCCCAGACAGGTTCGTAGCCCTCGCCACGTACAGGCTGAGAGTCTCGAGGACCGCCGCACCACTGCCTTCGCATCGCTGCGACTGCAGGGGGGCCACCGCTTTTGGCTGCAAGTGATAGCCCGACCATCACGTGTCCGAAGTAAGCCTTGGGCTTCAGTGTTTCTCAACCATGGGAACTCAGAAAAATCTCAACTCAACAACCAAAGTACACCATCGTAGTCATGTGCTGCTCCTGGGAGCTGTTAGCGCTGCGCTTGGCGTCGATCGCGATTGAGAGGACTTACTGGTGCCTGGAAGGGATGGGTGAATAAAATCTTCGCACTTGTGCTGTCCAAGCCATCAGCCCCAGTCGACGCGAGCATCGACACTCGAACTCACCGTCGATCCTTCTTCATCCATCTGCACAACTCCATCAAGATGGCGACACAAACCCAATCGGATACGCTCGCGTATGTATCGCCACGGGCACCCGGCGCCAACGAATACGAACGCTGCAAATACTATTAGCAATATACGCCGTGCTGAGGTAAACAGATTTGTAAAGAGAAGAGAGGCTGAGCTATACACGAAGACGAGATAAGGAGGAATGGTTTGACAAGACGGGGGTTGACAAGACGGTGGTTGACAAGACGGTGGTTGACAAGACGGTGGTTGACAAGACGGTGGTTGACAAGACGGTGGTTGACAAGACGGCGGCTGACAAGACGGTGGCCAGCAAGATCGAAAGCAGGACGAAGGACAGGACCAAGGTTGGAAAACATCAAGATCGAGAGGAGATGTTTCGACATACATTCATCGACGCCAACCCCCCCGAGGGGGAGTATCCCGACCATGCCCTCAGGTACAGGTACGCCATCAGCCACACGCGTACTACGGAGCTTCAAGCAATCACTGAAGCAAATTAGCGTTACCGATCCAAAGTCAACTCGTCACGATATACATACCCTGTTGCGAGGTCATAGCCGAGTCCATCTCCACCAATGTCTCCGCTGACTCTATGCTGCAGCTCTTCGCACGCGGAGAGCTTGCAGCTCTAAAACAACTCTACGCAAGAGTCCTTGCCGACAACACCACATCTGCTGAAGATGAAATCATCAA